AGTAAAACAGTACAATACTGTAGAAAAAATGATTTCTGGGCAATATTTATGAGAACCTTGCCGATAAAATACTGTAATGTACTGTAATTCTGTACATGAACTGGAAAAAAATAAACTGTAGAATTTACTCAGATTGAATGATGTAACAATTTGCACTCACTTTTTTGGGTTGACTTTAAACCAGCGGTGGCCAATCTTATCCGCAAAGGGCCGGTGTGTATGCAGGTTTTTGGGATAACCTGTAGGTCAGCTGTTCAAACCCAGGTGTGAGGACTCTTCAGCCAATCAGTCCTCTAAACAGTAATATAATTAGGGAGTGGCAGCGAAAACCCGGATATACACCGGCCCCTTTCTGGATAAGGTGACATGAAGGGCATCATGCCTCAAGTCCCTTAAGCCATTTCAAAATAAGAATCCTTCAACGTTTAAGGCCGCTGTAAATGGAGTTACTTATTTTGCTGGTGTAAAAATGCAGGCCCGATGGGCGGGTTCGAACGTACCGACGGCGTTCGTCTGCCCGTTCTCTGCCGCCATCATGAGCGGCGTTTTCCCCGAGGCGTCTGCGGCGTTCACCTGGGCGTCGTGCCCCAGCAGCAGCTGCAGGCACTCCACGTGGTCCGTGAAGGCGGCGGCGTGCAGGGCCGTCCTGTGGACGGGGGCACAGACAGCAGACGTCAGGGCGGCCCCCACCCACAGCTCCCGCCGCCCCAACCCCTCCTCCCACATCAGCCCCGGGGGGGGACGCACCTGCACTTTGTGTCGGTGGCATTGACGATGCTGGGGCCCAGTGTGTCGATCAGCATCTCCGCTGCTCCTTCATTGTCATTGATCCTGCCAGGGACACAAAGATTGTCACCTTTCAGAGGGACTCAGACAGTCACAGACAGGCACAGACTAACATGTGGACAGGAAGTTTGACTCTTACACATAGAGATACAGACAGATAGGCAAGCAGGCAGATGCACAGACTTACACAGCGCAGTGCAGGGGGCTGAATGAGTTGCCTTCCATCTTTTGAAACACCTCCTGTTCCAGCAGCACCTCCACACACGTGTCGTGGCCTGCGGGAGCAGACAGTCAGCACACACAGGAGGGCTGAAACAGGAGGGGAGAGGACGGCATTCTGGGGCGCGGAGCGGTACCGTTATAACAGGCCCAGTGCAGGGGTGTGTAGCCCCGGTTGTCTGTGATGATGGGCACGGAGTCCAAAGACTGGGCAGCCTGCAGGAGCCCCCCCAGCACCCCGATGTGCCCGCAAGCTGCCGCCAGGTGAATGGGAGTGCGCCCCCTGCAGTCGCGAGCCAGGAAACTGGCATTGTGCTGTAGTAGGGCCTCCACACACTCCTCGTGGCCGGTGACTGCCTGTGGGGGGGGGGGGGACAGGGATCAAGTAGGGGCTGACGAGGCCCACCCTCCCCTCAGCGATGGAGGGAGCCAGCTGCCGCTTTTGTAGCACTCAACCTCAGCCTTTAAAAACTCATCACAACAATTATCAAACCACACCCAACACTCAGGCTCCACCCCAGTGTGACATGACATCACCCAGCCCCAGCTCCCCCCTCCCCAACACACTAAAGGCTCCTTGTATTTATGCAGGCCACCCACCACAACACAACGTGAATCATGGCTGTTGTTTGTGCCTGACACTTTTTCACAAATTTTACTATGGAATTAGTGTGTACTATCTGTACGCCGACGTGTGTGATGTTAACTCTCTGACTTACGCGGTGTTTGTCACGAGCAATGTGACAAATTTTGTATACAAGTTCCTTGAAGCAAGGAGACTCTGACAGCCAGAATGTGAAAACTTCTGAAACAAGCTCACACAAAAAAATTACATGTACAAGAAAAACACACAGCTTGGGAATTGAGCCCCCCTGTAAAGCACTCCCGTACGGCACATCTCCCCCCCCCCTTCGGAATGATGAGATTACAGGAAGAGGGAAATACTTCTGGACTTAAGCATGACGTTTGGCAGCTGTGAGTGACCGCAAACAGACGGAGCTGTGAGTTGGAGTCATAGGGGAGCGAAATCAGAGCTGGTGTTGGGAGCTTTGGGAAAACTGGGCTGGTAAAAGACCACCAGCAGAACCTGACTGGCGGGCTGGGGCAGAGAGAGGGAGCCCGGAGGGGGCGGAGAGAGGGAGCCCGGAGGGGGCAGAGTGAGGGAGCCCGGAGGGGGCGGAGTGAGGGAGCCCGGAGGGGGCGGAGAGAGGGAGCCCGGAGGTGGCGGAGAGAGGGAGCCCGGAGGGGGAGCAGAGAGGGAGCCCCGAGGGGCCGCAGAGAGGGAGCCCCGAGGGGCCGCAGAGAGGGAGCCCGGAGGGGGCAGAGTGGGAGTCCGGAGGGGGGGCAGAGAGGGAGCCCGGAGGGGGCAGAGTGGGAGTCCGGAGGGGGGGCAGAGAGGGAGCCCAGAGTGGGCAGAGTGGGAGTCCGGAGGGGGGGCAGAGTGGCTTACCCCACGGTGCAGGGCGGTCCTGCCCCACTTGTCTTTGGCCTCCACGTTGGCCCCCTTGTTGAGCAGGGAGTATACGCAGTCTGTGTGGCCGCTGAGGACGGACAACATCAGCGGGGTCCTGCCAAGCGGGGGGGGGGGGGTCAGGGCAGTTAGCCACGTTGGTAACAGACAACTAATAACAGAATAATTAACAAATACCATTATTATTAACACAGGATGAAGTTATTCCTGTACAACAGCAACTGTAGGCTGGTGTGACTCATGGACCAGGGAAAATGCCAAGGGCTGTTTAGTAGAAGTATTATATGGCTGAAGAAATCCTCTCGGCCCCCTGCAGGCGAGGAGCCAGCACTGCAGGGGCGTGATGCTGCGGGGGATGGGCTGGCATGTCAGTCTGGGACATGCACAGGGCAGCAATAGAGTGTTATGGGAGACACTGACTGGCCATTTCCGTCCTGGATGTCCACAGCGGTCTGCAGGTCCGCGTTCCCGATCAGCAAGCGCAGGCACTCCGAGTGGCCGTTCATGGCTGGTGGGGGAGGGTGGAAAGGTCAGTGTGTCGGCCAGTCGCATGCTGGTGGGGCTCACACACCCTTAGAATACTGGACCTACCTGCAGCGTGGATCGGCGTGCGCTTCAGGGTGAAGTCCTTCACCAGGATGGACGCTCCCTGGTTGATGAGCACATCCACGCACTCCACGTGGCCCTTGAAGGCGGCCAGGTCCAGGGGTGTGCGGCCCTGGCTGTTCCGGACGTCCAGGTCTAGCAGGGACTGAACCAGAACCTCCAGAGCTTGGTGGTGCCCATGATACGCCTACAAACATGGAGGGGGGCAGCCTTAAAGACACTCTCCCTCAGTGTCTCCAGGTGGTCACAGGTTCAAATTCCAGATTGCTATTCACCAGCTGGGCTTGGAGGGGGGACGACGACGACGACACAGGCCCCTCCCTGCTGCTTTACTCACCGCTAAGTGCAGGGGACTGACAGGGGCGCGGTTGTCAGAGTCGTTCAGAACATCCGTCCCCGAGGTCTCCATCAGCTGGGGAGAGGATGGGTGGTTGGGGGGGGGGGGGGGTTAAGCCACCGTATCACACTATCGAGAGCCTTTGTCTCAGATGGCCGCTACTTACCACATCGAGGGGCGTCTCGCTGGCGATCTGAAAGACAGAAAGGAGCTTTTCAGACATAAACACGCGGGGAGAAGACACCAGATGAAAAGGCACTGAGCTTCGTTATTGGATAACGTGAAGCAGCCAGCCGGAGCTCCTCACCAGCTCCAGGCACAGGCGGTGGCCGCGCGCGGAGGCATAGTGCACGGCGTTGTAGCCCCGCTTGTCGCGGATCCCCGGATTGGCATCGTTCCTCAGCAAATATTCCAGGCACCTGGGGGATGGAATGTGGTGAGATTGTGGCAAGCAGACGGCTGGAGTTCGGCGGGGAGCGTGAGCCCGCAGCGGCGGGGGGGCCACTCACTTGGCGTGGCCGTCGGAGGCAGCGGCGTAATGCAGCGGGGTGCGGCCTTGCTCGTCGGCATCATTCACGCCGGCGCCGGAGCCCACCAGGGCGAACAGGCACTGGTAGTTACAGTTAGCTGCAGCGTAATGCAGGGGCGTCCTGTTGACGCAGAGACATCGTCCTTCATTCCTCCAACACCATCAATCACCCGTCCACACCCGCGTTAATCTGGACAGGAACCGGCACAGACCGGCCAGCCGGCGTCACGGCGACGGACCGACCGGCTCAAACCGGCGCGCATAAAATAAATACGGTTTACCTTCCAAATTTGTCCTTCCTGTTGAAATCGGCCCCAGTGTTGAGGAGCAGATTCAAACAGTCCAGATTCCTGTGGGACAGGAAGGGGACAGTGAGTGGGCAAGCACGACATTTTACTTCATTAAAGATATTTATATTGCAACTTCCATTTTACATTTATGAGGCCTGGCAATTTATTGGAGGTTCTGAGAAATGGTTTATTATAAATGTATTTGCCCATTAACCTCATAGGAAGCACCTACAATGACAGCTTTCTTCAAAAAAGCCACGTTTTAAAATTTAATCATATTAGTAAGATCCCACTTAGACTGGACCAGCACCATTGTTGATTCCTGCCCTAAACAGGCACAATGCTGGTTCGAAAAGTCATCAAAAACCTCCCCCATTCCAATTCAGACAATTCTGCTAACCTTTCCCCATTTTTACTCATTCAACCAGCTATTGACATTCAACTTCAATCTAAAAGCAGAAAGAGTGTGACTTGACACCTTCCCAGTCAGACGCTGAGATACGATAGCAGCTTCTCAAAGGGGCTGCCATCTCGTCTAAAATAGATCTATTTAATCCATCGAACAGACGAATTAGAAAATAAACATCAATTCACCTGGCATGAGCACTTCCTGTTTACTGTATATCGAGAAAGCACAGCCCCTGAGAATAGCGGTGATTTTCAGGATGTTTTACCAAGTAGTGATCTGACTGAATGTGAAAACAGAAAAGGGGCAGGGAGGCAGTGACCCTGTCGGATAGGCGGACGCACCCTCCAGCTGCTGCCGCGTGTAAACAGGTCCTCCCGAAGTCATCGGGGGTGTCGATATCAAAGCCTGTGGGAGAGGGACGACACTGGCGGGTAAGTTCTCACCTGGAGAAGTCTGATACACAGCAGCATCAACAACAAACCTGGATCTGTGGCTGATTTGCTAATTAATTATTAATAAATGCAATATGGATGTCAGGACTGTTTGAGGGGCATGTCACGGGAAAGGGGGGCTGGTGTTCACTCACCGGATGATAGGAGCTTGCGACAGCAGTCTGAGAAGCCACTAAGAGCTGCCAGGTGCAGCGGGAACATGCCGTGGATGCCACGCCTACCAAGAGGCGGGGCCAGTTAACACCATGTGACACCCTACCCCGCATGCCTTGCAGCAGCAACGCTGATTATCACTCACTTGGTAGCGTCGGCCCCATTGGTGATGAGCGTGTTGAGCAGCAGCTCGTGGCCATAGCGGGCCGCGATGTGCAGGGGCGAGTTGCCGTTCTTGTCTTCACAGTCTATCTCGGCCCCTGTGGGTGTGACCCAAACTATCAGCATTAGAAACACAGGACCTGTGCCCCGCCTAGAGGATGGAGGGGGGATGACGGCTCAAGGGCGACTTTACCGTTCTGAATGATGGCCTGGGATCTGGAAAACCGGCCATGGATGGCGGTCATGTGCAGAGGAGTCTTCCCATCTTTACTCTGGAGAGAAAAAAATCCAGCATGAGTGCCGTGCCACTGCACCCAATCAGGGACCTGCCGTGCCATTCGGTGCCCAATAAGGGACATGCCATGACATTCGGCGCCCAACCAGAAACATGCAGTATGATGCTGTGCCCAATCAGGAACGGATGTGTGGTAACAGTACAATGTGCCAGTCAGAGATTTGTACCTATTCCCCCTACCTACTTTCCACCTGTACAAAATCAGTAAAAATGTTCAATCACAAGTCCTCAGGTCGGTGCCAGAATCGTCCTTTTGTGTAGTTATACTGCTGCTACTAGGAAAAGCCAATATCCAATGGGCCCTTTTGGGATCGGGAAGCCCTGTCCTCATTACCTGAGCGATCAGGCTAAGAGTTTGCCGATAGACACCCAGGGGCTCCTATTCTAGGGCAGCTGAAGCTGATGTTCTCCTGACCCAGCTGCATGAGGTCACACGGTTTCCTTTCCAGAGACTTGTAGGGTGTTTCTCAATATGCGTACTTCACCGTACTTGTGTTCTCATGCACCCGTCTTACATCATCTTCCATTGCCAAAGACCAGTCCCAATACTAAGCACAGAAGCACAGAGGACAGTAAAAATTCCCAGATGTTGTCCTTACTCCGCCCCAGATATCAAGGGTACATTAGTTGCATCCCAGCCAAATGAGAACAATCCCACGATTCATTGCGCCCCAATGTTCGTTCTTGGGAGGCAAGTTAGCAAGACCGGTCTTGTCAAGACAACACGTACGATCGTGGCGTATTTGGTATTGAGAAACACCCTAAAAGTCTCACAAGAAGTAATGATGATGAGGTCATTTCCTGTGAGAGACACCGTCCTGCCAGACAGCAGTGGCGTACCTTGATGTTGACATCGGCGCCGTTGCTGACGAGCAGCTCCAGGCAGAGCGCCCCGTGTCGCGAGGCCGCTGTGAAGTGCAGCGGCGCAAAGCCCTTCTCGTTCACCTGGTTGACGTTGGCCCCAGAATCGATGAGCTCATTGACGACCACATCCTGCCCGTTGTAGCAGGCCACGTGGAGCGGCGTGTTGCCGTATGCATTCGGCTCATTGATCTGGAACAGGGAGACGAGGTGGGTTGGGAGGGACCTTCGGAGGTCACGCTCATTTTAGTGGGTGGTGGGGGGGCGAGGGGCGGCACTCACATCCACCCCCAGGTCCAGCAGGAACTTGACCACGCTGATCATGCCGCTGGATGCGGCCGCATGGAGGGGGGTGTACGCCTTCTTGTCCTTGCAGGTCACCTCGGCGCCATGATTCACCAGGAGCTTCACCACCTCTATATGGCCTGAAAGCCAGAAACCATTCAGGGCCCCCTGTCAGACAGGGCCACCCCAAGGCCAACTGAAGTTCTAACAGGCAGCACCAGACTCCTCACCCATATAGGCAGCCCAGTGGATCGCCCGGCGCTCCTTCTTGTCAAAGGCATTAATGTTGGCACCTCTGGAAAGTAGCAGTTTCACCATCTACCAAGGAGACGGGAGACTTACACTGAATACAGAGTGTCTGCATGTGACAGCAAGCGGCTTAACTCCGCACTAATGGCGTGAGGTTTGGGGCTGTCAAAAAGCCCCCAGCAAGCCATCTGCAGGTCAGCTCCTGACAAGAGGGATGGGGGGAGCTGAATGTCAGCACCCAAAAAACCCATCTGTATCGGCTGGGTGAGTGAGTCGGGCCTATCAGCGCCCCCTCCTGTCAGGGAGATGACAGTGCGGGATTCCCTCCTGAGCCCGCTACCCTGGGAAGTCCCCACAGGAATGGGACTGACCTCCAGGTGGCCACTGAAGGCGGCGTGGTGCAGGGCGGTCCTGCCCGCGCGGTCCGACACGTTGACATTGCTGAGCTGCGGCACCAACTCCTCTGCGCAGTGCACTGCCTTGTTGGCTGCAGCTACGTGCAGTGGCGTCTGCCAGTTCTTGTCCCGTGCGTTGACATCGGCTGAGTGCTTCAACAGTACCTTCACGGCCTCCTGGGAACACGAGGGGACAAGGGAGGGAGATCAGGTGGCACATGACTCCCGTTCCGGCTAAGTGGATGGGCTCCGGGGTGGGAGACCGGAGAAGCGTGCGAATCAGCCAATCAGAGTACTCGGACACTCTCAGATACAGGATGGAGAGATGCATCACCTGCGAGTGTGACCTCATTCGAAGGCAGAGAGAAACAGTGAGTCTGAACTGACAGAACAGCACAGTGCCCCCCCCCCCAGCCTCAGGCCCAAGCGGCCTGCTTCGACGTACATTGAGCACGCTCCGGAGGGAAGAGCAAGACGACACACTACTTTATAGTATTATAAAAAGTACTTCCCATGGTATATCCAAAAATCCAATAAATGACCCCTACATGACTGCTAAAACTGAGCCTAGTTAGTAACTCCCCTACAACGACAGCTCAGGGGCCCTGAGGAGGGGGACGTTGACACCCACAGCTAGAGGTTCCCCTCCAACCCCAACTGTCGGGCAGGAGGTGAGAATCAACACACGGCTACTTCCCCATTTTCAATGCCAAGTCCTACTGCTTGCTCCAGGGCATGTTCCATTCTCAAACATTACAAAGCATGTGTTAAAGCTACAAAGCATTTATGAAAGCCCTACAAACTCATTACAAAACAGAACATGGAGTGCTGAATATATACTTTTGGAAATACGCACAACAGGTAAATCGATAAACAAAAACATGCAAGAACCAGGATGCTGGAATCATCTTGAGCAGAAAGCTCCTACACAATTTCCATGTGTTTTGGTGCCTTTGGGAAAATCAGAGCACCAGCAGCGCATAACAGGTCCGTATGAGGAACGGGCTCAAGATGGGCTTTAAATACCCACAATGTCACAGCAAGGGCTCCAGAAGAACCTGCGGCAGCGAGCCGGTGCTGTCGGATCTGGGTCAAACAGTAAACTTTAAAGAAGAGCTAAGAGAATGATGGAAAAAACACTGTCTTAGAGCGAATTCAAATTCCTGTCTGCACTAGTCAGCCCCTCGGGGTATGAGCAGGGCGGAGAACATCAAACCCGAAAAGGGCTGGAGGTGTCCGAGACTCACCTAAGAGGACGATGAGAAATTTAACATAAACTAGACCTTGCAGGATCTCAACAAATGCCAAAGAGCTTTAAAATATACATGAAGCTGAGATAAGCTAAAGATCTCAGAAACAACCAGGAAGTAGAAAACAAGGCAGGCGGCTCGGTTGTATGACCTACAGAGCTCACTTTCTCTGTCCAATGTCACCAAAAATGTTGAGTGTTGAGTTTTGGCAACAGTAGCCGGGTCAATGATCAAGATATGACAGCTGCACAGAGGCTTGTGTTGAGTAACACATAATTCACTGATCTTTCGAAATGAGGGCTGATAATGTGACCTTGTGTGTGCGCGCGTGTGCACGTGCATGCGTGCAAACAGACCAACGGAAATACCTCACAGCAGGATGCCACGGCCCGGTGCAGCGGAGTCAGCCACTTGTTATCTTTGGCATTTACTCTCGCTCCTGGAAGGGGGGAAGGGAATGGAAGGGGTGACAGAAAATCTCCATAAAAAAACACAAAAAACAAAACAGAACAACAACACTACAAGCCGAGTAAATTGTCGTATTACAGACAAACCACAGCTGAAACATAACCTAACAGTGACGGTTTTTAGGAAAACCAAAGCAAATCCATCTGGCACCTAACCTCAGACACAGCACCCCAGTGTTAGAATGGGCAGTACTAATAATTTGGGACAAAGGTAATGGAGTAGACAATGAGCACCCAGCTGTGGAGACATTTATATATGTATTTTATATATGTATACACGCACACATGCACGGGAAGCTCTCCGACAGGCCTTGCTAAGAGCACGTGCTGGTGAACAGGCACAAGCAGCTGTTGACACAATCTCAGGCAGTAAAGAGTGCCCTGTGCAGGACACAACACTACAGCCCCATTTTCTAAGAAACTGAAAGCTGTACCCGTCACACTTCATGTCACCATTCCTGGGATGGTGGGGGGGGAGGGGGGGCAGTTCACACTGGACAGGGACATTGTGGATAGCCCTGGTCTGCAACCAATGCCTCTTAAGACCAACCACATGACCCAGGCGTCATGAAGACGGGCTGCTTCACCTCCCCGCAGGGACACACCTGACATGATCAGCAGCTCGATGATCTCCGAGTCGCCCAGGTATGCGGCGGCGTGCAGAGGTGTCCTCTTCTCGTTGTCCTGCGAAGACAGAGACGCTGTATAAGGGAGCTCTGCTCTTTCATGAGCAGGTCCATATGGACCGGGGCCAAATAGATGCAGGTGTTCAGCCAGGGCCAGAAAGGCGCAGAAAGTGGGCCAACGGTAACTTAGACGCGACTTCACAGCTCAAGGAGTGAGAGAATGAGGAGAAGGAAAAACAAGGACCAGGATAGTGGTCTACAGCAATTCTGGAACTTTTCACAAACGTTATTGGCAGCCCATAATAACCCATGATAACAGAGTGATAACACTAGCATTTTAACACCCATGTGGGTGTTGTATAATCATAATTAACTCATACTTAAATACCTATTCAGCAGAAATTCAGGTCTAATGACCAAAGTAAGTTCATGTATCTACGACAGTTTCTAGAAAAACTAAGATGAATTGCAGCATTTTTAAATGGGAGTCCAGGAAGCCATGGCAACGCTAAGCCATTGAGGAAAGGCTGGAGGGGGAAAGGGGCTGTGAACGGAACAGCACAAACTACTGTGCTGGCAGCAGCAACAAAAGTGATCGTAACATTCTGTTGTGGTGTTTACAAGAGCCTGATTTACTGAGGAGGATGTTTCCTCGAAGCCAGGGCTGAGCGGTGAAGGAGCTGACGAGCAAAAGACGGGATGCCCGTCGTTTGGACGATGATGGACCCGGCCGAGGCTGGCTGCCAGGTGCTGGAGCACAGAGCTCTGCACACAGCGTGCAGGGTTTATTCTCATCGGGGCAGGCAAACCCCTCCTTTGGGGTCAACATTTACATTCACAAGGCCCTTTGGCTCAGGAATTCCGTCTAATAGAACTCATAAGGAAAAAAAAAAAGAATTATGCAGTTATAGAGATTCCGAGACCGAACTGCCCATAAAATCACAAATGTTTAAAAACATCTGACTTCCATTTATGTACATTGGGTCTGTTATTTCAGGTGCTTAAAATAGCAGAATATTCCATGGTTGCATACATGGTTTTAACTCTGAAAGAAAACTTTACACCCGCATTCGACAATAAGAACCCAGTGCACAGACCTCCTCTAAACAATGCTAACCATCTAAGCCAATAGAGCCTTGGTTAGTCCAATACAGCCAAAATAGTGTTTATACAGTAGCGGCCGAGAACCGAATTACACTTTACAGTCACACTGCCGCTTAGCAAAGGCCAAATAGATCTGACCAAATATATATTCTTACTTCTTCCTCCAGTCATATCAAAGATGTCAGCACACTTTTCCGGCCCAGAAATGGAGGAGACTGACCAGAGGGGAGAAAAGGGTAACCCAGTCTCCAGCGAAAGACTTTACAGAGGAGAATGTTCTTCAAAATGCATCCAATTACCCTGTGCAGTTACCCTGAGCTCACATCTTTAGTCATACAGAGCTCACTTCACCAAGGAACTCATTGGGGAATGTTTGCACACCTCTACACCTGCGCAGTAACCAGGAGACTGTAACCAAGGTCACCCCCCCAAGCCCTGCACTACAGACTGACTATAATATAACACAACGCAAGTGATTTATCCATCTCTGGGGGGTCATTGAGTATTTTCCCCTCGTACCCCCTTCTGCTCTCCAGGAGAGGCACAGACACACATGTATTTAAAGGTGAGAGCAAGTCTGGGGTCAGAGAACAGGATCAGCCAACGTTCAGCAGCCTTGGAGTTAAGGCGCATCCTCAAGGGCCCAACCCTCCTCTGCGTACGGGACTGAAACCCACAACCAGATACCAGCCTGGAGCCCTAACCTGCCAAGCTATACATCACTCTAGTCTATTGAAGACTGACTGGAGAGATAAACACAAGACTCCTTCTAAGGTTTACACTTTAGCAGAAGTGGGTTTTGGAAGATATAGAGTGACCTATTTCCCCTGGTGTGACCATGGCTCTCTAACATATGCACACACAGAGTAAATACCTCTCAGCAAAGCACAGAAATAAAATGACACATGGCAATTATATTTGGATATTTTCAGCAGAAGACAGCGAGGTGTGACTTAAGTGATGAAGAGAACGTTACCTGTACATTGACATCTTCCTTCTTGAATATCAGGGAGCGGACTTCATCGGGATCCACATTAAAAATAGCTTTCAGGAGTGAAGGCTGAAAAGGAGAGAGAGAGAGAAGAGTTCATGGTTTTTACGTTCTGTGGGAGTGTGTTTCTATCCTGCTGCGGTGGGTGTTGTGCAGAAATACTAATCCAAACCTTCTAGGCTTATCGGCCATTTAGTTCTGCTATCAGTCACCCTTTACAGAACGGAAAGTAGATGGCAACAAAAACAACCCCCCCCCCACCATGCTGCACAAAGACACTCACAGAAAGTGGGGAAAATTCCTTCACCAGCTATAAAAAGCTCTACAGTTTTTGTGGTCAAAGATAGTGACAGGCACAGAACAAAATGTTTTTAATTACACATCAAATGAAATAATAATCAGGTGTCACACCTGGAATTTAAAGATCATGTATTTAAAACGGCTTGTACCACAAATTAATAGTTAAGCAGGTTTATCTGCAGCTGAATAGGTGAAAGCTAAAGGGATTCATTTGAAGGTGATACAGCAGTGAGTGGGTTGGTCAGAATCAGTCAGAGCCACAGGGAGTAAAATCCCCAGCGATGAATCACACAGGAAAACATCCGCCATGACAGCAACAAGCTCCTACAATCTGCCCATGGGGCTGAAGCCCATAGCAGGCTGGCTTTCTCAGACTGTTAATTTATAAATGAAGTGAAACATCAGGGGCAAAAGGCATTTTCCACAAGATCAGTACTATTAAAAAAAAAAAAAAAAAAAAAGATCAGTACTATTCTTCATCTGAGCTCAGTTGGGGGGCCAAACGAATTTGCTGCTCTTTTTTACAATGACTTCATGTTATCAAATTGGGGAGAAACGTAGAGTTACTGTAATATTAATAATCAACAAAGGCTCTACAGACAGACACAAGGTGCCCCTGCAGCAGGTCCCCTGCCAGCTCCCCTGAATCACATTCCAGGCAGTGGCGAGATGAGCTCGACTGCGGTTCTTCTCTGTGACGAACGCAGGATCACACAGTAAATCAGCCCAGCACGGCCTTTGCGCAACAGCGCACCCTGCAGGCCGGCTGACTGCGCCAACGTGCTCCGCTGTCACAGGAGATCCCAGCGTTACTCTGTCGGGCATCATTAGACGTCTCGGTTTTGATTTCTACACGCTCCATTATCAAAATGCATCCTGAAGAAGACAGGCGGTTTACAAACGCTGCGACATGACAGTGGGGTGGGGTTGTGTCCCACTCGTATGCTACGACTCCACCCCAGGACCCGGCACAGTCCTCAAGCTCCCTGCCTTGAGCTACAGCACCTCCTTGTGCTTCCTTTTTGCCATAAATAAAGCGCCTCGCACCTAAGCCTGCACCCCCCCCCCATCCCACCATAACACTCCGTGCCTTTGGCAGGAGGATCAGCTCAGTTCGGTGTTAATCAGCCACAATGATTTATTCCAGACCTGCAGTCTGTGAGCTTTTACTCACAGGGCATTAGTGGAATTCTCCTGTCACTGCTGACTTTGCGTTTGTGTGTGTGTGTGTGTGTGTGTGTGCTCGCTTGTACGTCAGAGACACATGGAACCTGACTGCAGAGCACACAGTGTTCAAATGCCCTTAATTCAGCAGAAATGTGGCTGAACGTTGAGCTTCAAAACCAGCCTAGCTGAACAGCTCCTTGCCTTTGGCCACGATCCACAGTAACACATGATGGCCGTCATCGTGGCTGGCGTACTGAGACATGCTCCACACCAAATACAAACTGGACGCATCAATTTCTACTGGCAATACAAACTCAACCTTCCCCTGCAGATCAAACCCAAGGGACAAGAACCACAAATCATTTTTGATTTAAAAACGGTGGAGGTTAAGTAGCAAAATCCTACTAAAGGGTAACAATGAAGTCTTATGAGTCTGGGGGTCCAATTAGTCCGCAAAAACGTATAGGGACCCTGTTCTGTGGGGGATGGGTGTCATCCGCTTACAGGGCAGGTGGCCGGACAGCTGTCCTGTCAACATATGTTCCCAGAAGCCCGTTTGCAATCCCCTCACATGTGCACTGAACACCTCCGCCCCAGGGGGACGCTGTCATGGACACATCTATCTCCTTGCCCGCACCATGGTGCCGTGAAGATCCTCACTAATGCTACTGGTAGCAGGCTACGCGAAGGTGGCTAACGGTGCATTACTGCCAACCCTAAGACAGCCGATTTGGTGAGAGGAGCGTGTCTAAATGAAGCTCCCTCAGAACAACGAGGAGGATCAACACTACGCCGGCCAGGACGCAAACCTGATCGTAACATGAACATCACCTTGATTCCTGATCAGAATATTAACATACGCTTTGACCAAGAGAACCAAGTCCAGGCTTTTAAATACGAGACAGCCCATTCCTGAACGGCTATAATTCTAATTATGGAGAAACACTGGAGCTGGTTGCGGACAGTGGTAAAACGACACCGGGATCTATTCACAGTGCCATGCACTGGTGCAGTGCGATGCACCCTGAAAGCGTGTGCAATCTCTCCTTGCTCACCTTGGCTTGTGCGGAGTCTGCGTCAGAACCGTGCTGGGGAGAGCGTGCTGGAGGCTCTCTGGAGCGAAAGGAGGAGGGCTCCACTTCCTCCTCCTCCTCCAGGACCACGATGCACACGCGGCTCATCCGCCCCTTCCGCCGCGGAGCCGCATGCCCGCGCGATGCTGCCGAATCCACGCAGGGGTGCGCAGGCAGCCCCCCAATCAGCCTGGACGACGGTGAGAGTCGGCGCGCGATGGCCGTCCTCCATTCATCCGGAGCAAGAGCTGCTGAAAGCAGCACTTTGGCTGGAGCCCAGCGATCGAGCTGACTACTACAACAAAGCTCTTCCTGTGTTCCCTTCAATCCCGCATGGAGGGGAGGGGTTTGAGCACACCGTTCACAGAGGCCGACTGATCCCACACGCACGCACGGACACACACACACACAAACACAAACAATCAGCACAGCAGGTGACAGGAGAACCCTTTAGCCGTGAAGAAACAGGACACCGGTGAGAGAGAGGCAGAGAGAGGGGTGGGGGGGGAGAGAAAGAGAGCGAGACAGAAGGAAAGAGGGAGAGGAACAGAGAGGGATAAAGAGAGAGAAAGAGGAAAACGAGGACACAGAGAAGGCAGGAGAACGAGTGAGAGGGACAGAGAGGGAAAGAGGAGGAGGAAAATGAAGAGAGGAGGACAGGAGAAAGAGAGAGAGGGACAGAGAGGGAAAGAGAGGAGGAGGAAAAAGAGGACAGAGAGAGAAGGACAGGAGAGAGAGAGGAGGAGGAGGAGGAGTAGAGAGATGAGGAGAGAGAGTGGAAGAGAGTGCTAACGGAAGCAGGGCAGCAGTCACAAACAAGCGCTGATCACATTTGTCAGCGTCAGGATTGCACACGCAAGGTCGCTCTGCAGTTGCGATGTAGCCTCTTTGAGGTCACCTCCCACCTGACAGGCTTAAATAACACAGCTCCCCCTCCCCCGGAGGCACACTGCAGGCTCCTGAGAACAGAAGCTCCTGGGATGCTCGAAAGGGAAAGCAAGAAAGAGCCGGGGGTGGGGGAGCTTTCTGATCGATGAGCAAAGTGAAAGCTGCACTGCTCAATGTGCAACGAATGACCTGATCCTCAGCCATCCCCGGCGTTCTGGTGGAGTGTGCCTTTAAAATATCCCATCATGCTCAGAGGTAGACCTATGGTCTGGCAGAAGGGTTCCGGCAAGCAATACAAATAACAGTCTGTAATTGAGAAAATGGCTGGGGTTGTTTCTCCCATTCTCCCACTGCAAACTGGAACAGACAGACACTGTTCTGAAGGGGGGGGGGGGGTTAGCCCCCCTCCCACATCTAACTACCAGCATATGAAAGAGAGGGGCGGAACATTCCAGGCAGCCACAGAAACCCATTAACTTTCCACTGGATTCTTCCCAGACGCCAACAACCTCCAACAGCACAATTATCTCTGCACGACAAACCTGCCTCAGCTGTCTCTCCCCCACCTCCCGCCCCGCATCTGCAATGTGCCCCCCAATGACCATCCTGGGACCATTCATCCAGTGTCTCCACTGTAAATCCACTGCACTTCCATACATCACGAGTGTCTTCGTGCAAAGATGAAAGGGAATCGCTCACATTGCTTTATGTTAAGCAGCTTTGTGTTCCCCCCCCACCTTATAGGGGACATTTTACTTGAGTGAATCAGGGCCTCGTTGCAGGCTGTTACCACTGTTGCCCCTACTGAGACATCGGCAATTTTTAGGGGCCTGCAGCTCTTCAGAAACGAGACCAGAATGACGCATAAATCAGCCCACGAACCAGCCAGCTAAGGCTCCGTTTTGTTTACGTTAGAGAACCTACTTAAAACGCTAACAATATGTTGTCTGGACTATTCAGCTTCCTCCTTAATGAGGAACTGGAGGCTCTGTGTCAAGTTTGTCCAGTTTGTAGCTGATGCGTGAGATGTATTGATCTTCAAATGTCAGCCGTTGGGAGGACCCAGGAGATACTGACCCAAGAGACATTGACCAAGAGCCACTGACAGACATTATAAATGAGTATCAGTAACTTGCAGGTCATTATGGTGACACCACCATCAACACTAGCCATCTTTTCACAAGCACAAAGATAAACATCAAACAGCACGTACTGGATTCATAAACTGGCTCCCATGACAAGCACATGCATACAGACACAGATACAGACACAGACACACACCCCTCTAGGTCTAAACCAGATGGCACCACACCTTAACAAGCTGGAACATAAACAGATTCCAGAGGCCTCAGTATGCCATTTCAAACAGGCCTATGATCTGACAGCACGGGTCCTCACAGCATCATCACTCTGGTAACCAAAAGAGCCACTGCAATAATATGTAAAACTGGATGATAATTAAGACTGAAAAAATTAAACTAGACCTACTTTTTGGTCTCTGAGTGCAAAGACACACCAAGTGCGGCAAGCGGGACTGTGCAGTGTTGACATTACGCCCTGGTTTTGGTTAAAATGAAAAGCAGTGATCTGGCAAGGTTTTCCAAACATAGGGCCGAGTGGCCAGGCAAACATTTTCAAAAAAGCCAAAACGTAAATTTTATATTTCATATTTCTCTTACAGTTCTGCATGTTTTTCAATAAGTCTACTGCCATTTTTATCTCCAAAGGCTGTTAATTGTATCAACGTCACATTAATATTATGAATACTTTTTATATGCATACTACTAATAGATTCTATTTTTGCTTCAGAATCTATTTAATTGTAAATATACTGTGCATCTGCTGGTGCGTTCCAAACTAAATCTCATTGTACTTACAATGACAATAAAGCATCCATCCATCCATCCATCCACTAAGATACTACGGCTGAACTCTGAACTTTAAACTGCAAAATCTTCACCAGATTCAACATATATACACTTGAAGCAATTGCACTGGAATATTTTCCTCAGCTTCTCATCTATAACTGTACAATACATACGCAGTTTCTTGGTAAAAGATATATCCATAGTTTCATCATACAGTAGACAGACAACTGGAGAGAGGGTGATTACCTTCAACCTTCTTTGGGACAATATGTGCAAGAGATTGGCTGAACTTTTCTGCTGCTTCTTCAGAGGTGCATCTCACGGTCTCGCCCACAGTCAGAGAGATATCAGGACAGTTCAATTGGTTCAACAGGGGCAACAAGGCTTTCAAATTTAGTTATTGCTAGATCCTTATTTGCTATCCAGAAGGCAACTTCCAATGTACATAAAACCGCCACCTCGTCTTCATTCATTACTTTAGCCACAGCACACTAAAGACCCAGTCAGGGATTCAGCAACCACAGCCTGTTAATGGTCTCTACAGTCAGCATATCTAATATGGGTGCTTGTCTTCCAATCATATTCTAACCATGAATATTCCCTCAACTATGAACTATGAAACGATCTCTAACCTAGTCTTTTTCTTATTGGACTGCTTGATTTCATTGGTACCAGTCTGCGAGGAGCAGTCTCCTTCCAAGCATGATGAATCATTCATTCGCACTGTATTTGCAGCTACATCGAACATCACTGACAGCCGATCAGCCGAATTATAGTGAGTTTTTCAGTCATAGACTTTTTGTTTTTTAGGTCGGGAGCCTTAAAAGAACTCCAGTATTGAACTAGATTTGCTCCCTTTTTCCTGGTGGTTATCATTCTTTCTTGCATATGCAATGTAAGTATGGCTTAAAAATTTCTGCTTTCTATATGAACGACCAATAAAATTAGCTGAAGAGCATCAGCTGACACGGACACCCAGCAGGTTCTCTTACCTACCTGGGGGGTGTTCCACAAAGCACCATTTCTCACTTAGCTGGGTTAACTTAAGCTAGAAGTCATGATTATCCAATAGGAATGCTCCTTAGCTAAACTGTTATTGGACAATCATTACTTCAAGCTCAGGATGAACTGCAGGATCAGGGTTGCCTACCTTTGGGTTAAATGATGCTCGCAAATTGCCCACAAGTTTGCCTAGTCAAAAATGACACACTGTATAACCCATGTGTGTGATTTTTTTAATGTGCCATGCATAATTCTTGAGCACCAATGGGGTGAGTCATAAGAACATAAGAACTATACAAATGAGAGGAGGCCATTCGGTCCATCGAGCTCGCTTGGGGAGAACTTAACTAATAGCTCAGAGTTGTTAAAATCTTATCTAGCTCTGATTTAAAGGAACCCAAGGATTCAGCTTGCACTATGTTATCAGGAAGACTATTCCATACTCTGACTACACACTGTGTAAAGAAGTGCTTCCTTAAATCCAGTTTGAAATGTTCTCCCGCTAATTTCCACCAACTCGGCAGAACACAAAAGTGCTCAGCAGCCATTGTATTCTGGAGAAATTGTTAATATTCTTGGTCCTAATCGGGGAGCTCCGGTGATCTGGAAATGAAGAGCCCTGCCTCCGATAATAAAGGTCAGTGCTTATTACATCAACACCAAGGCCAGAAAGCCAGAGACCGAACACAGAGAACAATGATCTGTTCATTTATAGCCACCTAACGGAGAAATGCAATAGAACAGAAAGCTTCCAAGAGTGAAACCCTATAAATAGTCTGGAGACCCTTTGTAACAATGCAAGGGGTCATAAAAACATGGTGAAACCATTCTGTCTGTTGATAACGTAAAAACAACTGCAGGTCAAAGCTTGAAAATAACAAAGATCCACCACTTTACCACACTACTCCTACACATGTGGACGTGGGCACACGACCCCAGGGACTCAAGGCTCTAGTCAAGATTGTGCTGAAGTTAAGGAACAAAACCGGCTACAGAGTGCAAAGGCGCACCTCCAAAACACAGCAGAGGATGGATCACACAGTATAACAAAGGAGGTACTGATCCAGATAGCTTTGGATCCACACCAAATTGGCCAAAATGGACCCACTGGACTGAAATTCTTAGATGCTTTATTGTGATTTTATCCAGAAACACTTCTGCCAAATGTGGTGCCCTCCACTTCCTCGACACTTTCTAGTCTTTTGCAATTTTCATACCTTTTCTATTAAACAACCTGGACCTTGTACTCGCACACAAGCCAAACAAATTCTAGCAGCAATCCCTGCTGGAAAGCCTACTGTTGTATTACAAACAATGGGCTGTGGGCTAAATCTGCCACAAATGTGGCAAACTAAGTCCCAAGCATAATAACTGTAAAAATGTATGTAGGTATGATGCCACATTATAATTGTGGGGAGGAGGGATTTCACCAAACGGCAGAAACCGTAAACCAGATGGACTCCACGTACATGAAAGGAAAATTCTACAAGCTGTTCTATTACATCTAAGCATTTCAATCGCATGTTCAAGGCAGTGTTCAATAAATTAACAAGTACTTTTGAGCTGGCTACCTTGAATAGCAAGCAAAAGCCTTGGGGGGGGGGGTGACATTGGATGTCCTTCCATTGTTTTAGGAAGGAGAAACCTAAGCCACAAAAATGATGCGCTGGATCTATGAGAAAAGGTGAATAATCAAAAGTGAACACAAAGACAAACACACTTCTTTTACATGAACAAAGCCATTTCTATCATCAAAACTGCACAGAACAGTGTTTATGCAATTTATGGGAAAGGGCAGATGGACAGACAGAATAGCAGAACATATG